GAGCCAGGAGGTCACTCCTGAGCCTCTTCTCCAGGCTGACCAAGCCCAACTCCCTCAGCCCTTTCCCATGTGCTCTAGCCCTTTGCTGCCCTCACTGCCCTTGGCTGGACTCGCTCAGTGCCTCAATGGCCTTTGGGCAGTGAGTGCCCAAAGCTGAGCACAGCACTGAGATGGGACCTCCCAGTGCCCAGTCCAGGGGGACAATCAGCACATCCTCATTTTTATACCTGAATCGTATCATCCTGTTCCACTCTTCATTCACCTACTTTCTTCTGAGGTTCCCCTTCCTGCTGGGACAGTTGGAGTGGATGGACATCCAAGGACCCAAGACATCCTGAGAATACTTGTACAAGTCACTTTCTGCTGCATGTTATCCAAAACATCATTGTAACATTTCTGCCTTGAAACTCTGAACTACACAGTTCTTCTGGCTGATCTTCCAGCCCTGGACCTTCTCCTGCCACTTCTCATGTGATTTTTTCCTTCTCAAGCTCTGATTTCATCAATCCCAGAGGAGCTTGGCAGTTACCCTCTCACTGTCCACAGTGCTCTGGATATGTTCTGTGCACTAAAGAGGAAGCCCAGGGACAGAAGCAGCAGGCAACATGCACAAAACTCAACTTGTCTCTGCTAGGTAAAATGAGGGAAGAAAGAAGGTAAAGATTTACTGCTCTTGAGATCTGGTGGGCTCAGAGCAACAGAAGTGGAAATGATTTTGTCCATCATCATGGTAAATGTCAAAAAAGTGGTTTGTTGTGGCTGACAGTTTTCCATGGTAACAGCACTAGGATGATTTACAGTCTCTGGTGCCACTCATCAGGACAACACCTACTGCATTTCAGCCCAAGGAGTGTTAGTGAGAACATGAAAATCCCTCATCCTGCTGACTCACCGACCTCAGCTCCTCCAACACTGCTGCTGCTTCTCTTCATGAGCCACCACAAAGCTGCATTTACTGCAACTTGGTTCCTGTTAACTCTTGTGCAACAGACTGAATTTGCATTTCAAATGTGTCACTGGACTGGTTTGAACAGCAATTCACACCCCATTCCTGTAGATCCTAAGGGGAATCCAAACAGGAGCTCGCCAGGAATATGATGTCAAAGAAATTCCCCTTCCTCAGCAGAGCAGAGCCCGGGAAACACCTTCCCACAGCACAATTCCTCTAAGGACAGGGACAGCCTGAGGCAGGAGTGAGGAATGGACCTACACAAACAGGGATCCACCAGTGACACCTCTGCAACATCCCCCAGGAAGTTCAGATCTTGCATGTGAGGGAGCTGAGGTTACTAAAGACCAACACAGCTTTGGCATCCGAGGGATTTTCCCTCCAAACCACTGCCCAGAAATCTAACAGGGAATATTTCACAGTAACTCTTGGCTGTTAAATCAAACACATTTAGCTGCTGCAATTCCTGGTGACAATGAGCATTCCCTTCTCCTGTGGCCTTTACAAATCCCTGTGCCCAGGACACAGCTCTGCTCACTCTTCCTTATTTGCTGAACAGCTTTCCAGGACCTCCTCCTGTGTCACAAGATCCAAAAATGGACTTCTGCACACAGTCCGAGCCCAGACATACACAACCCTCCCCTCAGGGCCCTTTAATTTAACCTCAACGAGACAAATACATACATTAAAAACTATTCATGGACCTTGCCAACCACTTATGAGCTGTAAGCACTTAAATAGAGTATAAAGCCAAACTAACAGGACACAGCAAGACTTTCATCACTTTAATGTGCTTTTCTTAGGCCTCTGTTTCCCCCTTTGAAGAGGTAACAGAGTGTAAAAGTGATTACAAAGTGTAAAAGTGATTGCTCTGTGCTAATGTAAAGGATTCATTTGGATTTAAGCAGAAAGAAAATTATCTGCAAGAGCATAACTGATCTGTTCCTGCCATGGTTTAACTCATCCCACACAGCTGCTTGTTCCCTCACTCAGTGGGATGGGGGAGAGAACTGGAAGAGTGACAATGAAACAACTCATGGGAAGAGACGAAGACAGTTTAATAGGTGAAGGAAAAGCCATGAACACAGAGTTCATTCCCCTCTCCCCATGGGTGTTCAGCCATCCCAGGAGAGCAGATCCCCATCCCATGGGACAATGACTTGGGAAAACAAACTCCACCACTCCGAACATCCTCCCATTCCTCCTCCTTCATACTCTGAGCATGACACCACAGGGTTTGGGATGTCCCTTGGGTCAGTTGGGGCCCATGTCTGGTGTTCCAGCTTGCTGTGGGGAGGTGTGAGGGGCAGAACATGCCTTGGGGCTGTGCAAGTGCTGCTGAGCAATAAAAACACCTGGAATGACCAACACTGTCCCCAGCACAAGCCACGAGCACCAAGCCACACCAGTTGCACCAAAAACTGACTCCCCCCCAGCCCAAACTGGCACAGTTCCTTTAACAGGATGTACGAATGACTCAATCAAGCACTTGCAAATGCCCATCAGACAACCCAAGTGGTGTAACAGTGGGGATGGGACATCTTCAGTGTCTCCAAAGTGTCTCTGGTGTGATGATGTCTCATTACTAAAGTAAATTCAAACACTTGGCAAGACAAGATGAATTAGTGTTCTCTTACTTCAGTGTAAAGTTTAACCACTTGAACAGGGTGGACTTCCACCCAAACCTTTTGGCACCTTCCCCTTCATCTGCCTTTGTGTCTACACGAGAAACCTCTTCCATCAAAGCTTCATAAATCTTTTGAGCTCGAGCCATCTCCTTATCTGCACTGAAGTGAACCATTTGCCCGCTCAGGATGGGAACCACCAAGTTGAAGCTGTCAACTCTTTTGTTTAGCTTCCTGATGTCTTCTACAAACTGCTCACAAATCTTACTCCACTGCTTTTGCTCTGATGGTGTCATCTCCTCTCCAAACTTCCTCCTGGAGGCCACTATGCCCTTCCTCAGCCTCTGGATGGTTTCCCGGATCTCCTTCTGCAGCAGGATCCACTCAGGCTGGTAGCCGTTGTCAATCAGAATCCTGTTGATGTTGTGGGTCATAGGGTCAATATGGAGATAGCCTGAGAACTTCTTCAGAGGTTTCCCTTTCCCTCTGAGGTTGTCGAAGTCTCCCTTGGCCATTGACTCCTGGATGAGGTCCTCAACCAACCGCTCCACAGCTTGGGTTATCTTCACCTTTTTGCTCTCCCTCACATCCTTGGCTGTCCTCAGGTCAGTGCCAGCATACTGGTTCTCCAGCCTCTGCTGCCTGTACTCCAATACCTGCTCCGTGGCGCGATCCACTCGGAACTGCATGTACTGCTTCTCCCTTTGGCTTGGTGTTCCAATGCCAACACCTTCAAAACTCAAGTAGTGTCTATGTGGCAGGGATTTTGTCTTGAACAGGTCCTCCCCCTCCTCCTCCTCCTCCTCCTCCTCTTCATCCTCATTTAATTTCTTCCTGGCTGCCACGTCGCTGAGCACAACCCTGTAGGCCTCCTCCACCTTTATGAAGGTGTCAGAATTAGCCATGTCGGAGCTGCTGTCTGGGTGGTACTTCTTGGCGAGGTTCCGGTAGGATCTCCTGACATCGTCGAGGGAGCAGCCTTCCTCCAGGCCCAGGATCCTGTAGGAGTTCTTGACACGGCTATTGGGTTGGTAACCCGACAACATCCTGCAGAGGAAGGGCTTCAGCTTCCTTGGAATCATGGCTCCACACCCCAGGAAACGGTGCCCCATGTTGGTGGCCAACATGGCACAAAGCCACCGGGTATTTCTTCAGCTGCAGCTACATCACAGACTACCTGAAACACACTGGGATAAAAACGGGGTTAAACAGGCTGTTTAAACAACTGCCAAGATTTAAGTCTGATTTTTAGCATGTGATATTGAAGAAATCCCTAACAAAATTCAGTGCACAATGTTCTTATCTTTTACTGACTAATATTGGAATCATGGAATCACAGTGGCCTGGGCTGGAAGGACCTTAAAGCTCATCTAATTCCACCCCTGCCCTGGGCAGGGACACATCCCACCAGCCCAGGCTGCTCCAAGCCCCATCCAGCCTGGCCTGGAACACTCCCAGGGGTGGAGCAGCCACAGCTGCTCTGGGCAACCTGTGCCAGTGCCTCAGCACCTCACAGGGTGCAATTCCTGACCAATATCCCATCCCTGCCCTCCTTCATCTTAAAGCCATTAATGTGCACTACTAATTAATTACTGTTGAAGTAGCAATGTGACAATGTAAACGAATTCACAATACAATTTTCTCCTGGTACAACAGAGACACAGGCTTGTCTTGCACTGCAGAACTCCCAAAAGGCTTTTTTATTGCCTTTATTCTGTATTTTATTGCCTTTCAGCAAGCTCAGAGCTCGAAATACACTTTATGCTGAGCTGCAACTGCTGAAACAGATCTTGCCCTTTCCCCTCTGCACCCACAGAGCACCAATTGCACGTCCTGCTCACATGGATCAATGCCTCGAGCTGTCCTACCTGGTACATTCCCAAAGGATGTCATCACAGCACTTGTTGGCATCTCACAGCAACATCTGTGCCAGAAGGGCAGAGGCTCATTCAGGTCAACTCTTTTATCCCAGCAGTGGTCAAACTCCTCAGGTCATGTCAGGTAAGGGTGTAAACCTGGAACTGAGGACAGATCGATAGCATGTCAGCAATTCCAGTGCTTATGGGCTACTTCACAGAACATTCAGACCTGGACCTATGAGGATCAGAGAGTCCAAAACCTGTGGACTTTCTTGGGAAAACAGCAAACATCAAAATGTCAGTCTTTACATAACATCAAAGCAGAAGAACAGAACACAAACCTCACACACCATTTATACTTCACCTAAATCCCATGTAGCCATGGAAATTCCAAGGGAAATGCTGGATAATGGTGTTAAAGAGTCTGTCAGGGCAACACCTCCTGTCCTGAATTCCTTTCCCAACAAAAAGAATTCAGTCAGATGAAGGTCGAGTTGAGGAATTAACAGGGTTCATGTGCCCTGCACATAACCGACTGCCCTTCTGCCCCAGCCCCGAGGGCATGGGGAGGGACTCGGGGCTGGGTCAGTCCTGTGCTCAGCTGACTTGGATCCAGGGAACAGAGTTCAGCCACCAGTTTGTGAGAACAAACCTCATTAACACCTTTCCCTTTCATTTCATGATAGAATTAGTGATTTCTTCCCTCCTAGGTGGCACACAAAGACAACAACTAGTGTCCTGAGGCCATAAACCCAGGGAACTACTACTCAGATCAATAAACCAATGAATACACCCAGAATTCAATACACTGCTCAAACCCCAAATCCCTTGTAATTCCATGGCTTTGGGTTCAATAAATCTGTGCTTGAAGCTCTACATGTAGAGCCCTCAGCCATGCAAGGGTGCCGGAGCAGGAACATTCCTTGGCAGCTTGGGCTGGGCAACCCCTGATGGGGGTCAGGAAGGGCTAAGGAGATAGAGGGGTCCATGGGGGTCTCATTCTCCTTCTCCCTTTCCCTCTTCTCCCTCTCCCTCTCCTTCTCGCTCTCCCTCCTCTTCTCCCTCTCCTCCCTCTCCCTCTTTTTCCTCTCTCCTTCCCCCCTCCCTCCTCTTCTTCTCACTCCTTTTTCCTCTCCCCTTCTCCCTCCCCCTCCTCTCCTTCTCCCTCCTCTCGCTCTTCTTCTTCTCCCTCTCTCTCCTTCTCTCTTTGCCCCCTTCCACCCCTTTCCTCCCTCCCTCGCTCTCCTCTCGCACCCGCCCGTGCCCGCAGTCCCGCAGGCATGCAGGATGCTCGCGCTCCCATCCCGCACGGCTCACCTGAGCGGGACGGACGGAGCAGCAGGAAGAGGAGGAGCGCCCGCTGCGTCCCGAGCTCAAGGACGAGCGGCGCGGAATGGCGAGGAGAGCGAGGAGGGAAGGAAGAGAGAAGAGGAGGAGGAGCAGGAGGAGGAGCAGGAGGAGGAGCAGGAGGAGGAGCAGGAAGGTCCTGCCCGCCCCAGCGCGAGCCGCGAGGGGGCGACCGTGAGCCGCGGGGAACGGGATTGGGAACGGGATTGGGAACGGGAATGGGCTGGGATGGGGATGGGGATGGGGATGGGGAACGGGCTGGGAACGGGACTGGGATTGGGATGGGGATTGGGAACGGGGCTAGGATTGGGTTGGGGCTGGAAATGGGGATTGAGGCTGGGGAATAGGACTCGGAATAGGGCTGGGAAGAGGGATTGGGTTTGGGTTTAGGCTGGGGCTGGGGCAGAGCAAGGGCGAGGGAGCTAAGGCCTGTCCCACTCTGCTCTCACCTACACAGTCACATGTATTGCTGTTGTTGTTATACACATAGCTGTTATTTGCCAGCTGGGTGAGGGACGGGGATTGTCCTGCTCTGCTCTGACCTGAGGCAGCCTCACCTTGAATGCTGTGAGCAGTCTTGGGTGCCTCAGTGTAAAAAAGATCTAAAGTTGTTGGAGAGTGTCCAAAGGAGGCACATGGAGATGGGGAAGGGTCTGGAGGGGCCACACGAGGAGAGGTTGAGGCACTTGGGTTGTTCAGCTGGAGCAGAGGAGACTGAGGGCAGAGCTCAGCAGGGTCTGCAGCTCCTCCCGAGGGGCAGTGCAGGGACAGCTCTGATCTCTGTGCCCTGGGACAGGGACAGGATGAGGGAACAGCTGGAGCTGTGTCAGGGGAGGGTTAGGCTGGAAAGATTCTTCCCCCAGTGGTGTTTGGGCACTGGAACCGGGTCAGGTTGGATGTCAGGACAAAGTCCTTCCCCCAGAGGTGTTTGGGCACTGAACAGCTCCCCATGGTAGTGGGCACAGCCCCAAGGCTGACAGAGCTCCATGAGGGTTTGGCCAATGCTCTCAGGCTCAGGGGACATTGCTGGGGTTGTGCCTCATCACCCTCACAGGGAGGAATTCCTTCCCAATATCCCGTCTAGCCCTGCCCTCTGGCACTGGGAATTTCCCTCTGGGCCCTTGATCCAAGTCCCTCTCAGCTGTCCTGGAGCCCCTTGGGGCACTGGAAGGAGCTCTGAGGTCTCCCTTGTAGCTTCTGCTTTCCAGGCTGAACACCCCCAGCTCTTCAAACTCAGTGTATTACTGATGGACAAGCAACACTAAAATTCCTTTTTCAGAGAGATTTTTACCTTCATGTGGGTGTGAGTTTTCTGTAAAAGCCCAGTATTGCTACTGGAAGTTTCCATGTGCCTTTCTCTGCTACACAGTCATTTCATCACCTAAGAAAACAACTTGGTCAATAATTGCAATGCAAATTGCCCCTGTGGAATGAAGCAAGTGGGAATTAACTCCTTGTGGCCAGTCCTGCCACAGAGAGACCTTTCCAGTCTGCATGGATTGTTTCTGGCTTGGGTTGTCACAGCCACTGATGGGAATAAAAAAATCCCAGCACTCTTGCAAAAGAGAGGAATTTTGATGTCTCACAAGAAATAGGACTCATCTTTCCTGGTGGTGTTTTGCTGTTGTGTCACAGGTCTCCTTAAACTGGGAGGTTCAAGTCAGTTCAGCAAGAGACAAACTGTTAATTCCATGGGAACTTCTCAGATTCCCTTTAAAATTTGATTTCATGGTAGAAAGTAGCAGATTCATTAAGGAGGGCACAATTGCAGTGTGTGCTGAGAGTTAAAACAGCTGTGTCTGATACACCTTCCCTGAGGAGGAGCAGGTCTGTGAGTGCAGGCTGAACTCTGGGGAGCCTTGCAAACCCAAATGCTGTGGTTTGTCCTTCTCCCTGAGACTCTTTACCTATCAGGGGATCTAAAGTTGCTCTTCCATGGGGTCTGAGCAATGAGCTCAGCTCTGTGCCACCACTTTGCAGCTGCTTTTCATTTTCCCAGCACTGATCCCATTTACACGGTTGGATGGGTCGCTGGGGAGCAGCTGTTTGTGCTGATAGCTCAGGAAACTGGGAGAGGGGAGGAGGAGGAGGATCCACACTGCTGAGGGTGTGGGGAGGACTGGCAGGGTGGGAGGCACTGAGAGGATCCTGCTGGAATCCTCCCGGGAGGTGGGAGGATCGAAGGGGCCGGGGCAGCAGGTCTGTCTGCTCCTCTCACTCCCTCACCCTTATCCTTGGCTTTAGGACATCAGACGTCATCTGGATCTGAAGCAGGAACTGAAGGAAGAACTTGAATCCACCCGGAGGACTCCTCACCCTTTTCTGTGGGCAAACAGCAGGATCTGACAGGGTAAGGGAAAGAATTCCAGTGGCACATCCCTCTCTTCAGCCTCTCCTCTGGACCAACTCTCTTTCCAGCTTTCTTTTCTTCCACAACACTTTGTCCCTCTCTTTGTCCCTCTCTTCCATCTCTAGTTTCCATCACACTTTGTCCCTCTCTCCTGTCTTTCCTCCAGGACCAACTCTCCTTCCAGCTTGCTTTGCTTGCAGCACACTTTGTCCCTCTCTCCAGCCTTTTCTTAGGACCAAGTCTATTTCCTGCTTTCTTTTCCTCCATCACCCTTGTGTTTTGCTTTCCAGAGAACATCCTTAGTGTCCTTGCTGTGATTTGGAATGGAGATCTGTGTTTTTCCACAGGGCAGGAGGCACTGCCTGGTTTCTCTCTCTTTCTGGTTAGGAAACATCAGGAAATTGTGAAATTAAGGGTGATACATCTTTTAGAAACACTTTGCTTTTTACTGATGATGACTAGACCTTGTTGAAGCTTCACAGAGAACCTGTTGGTGTCATGGCTAGAGCCAGAGCAGCGACTTGTTTGCCGAGCAGTGACCAAAGGAAGGGCAAACCCTGACATTTGCGAG